GGTGGTAAAAGATAAACTGAACTTTGTAGACAAATTGGAACTTACATACAATTTAATTCAGAAAAAAGAAAAGTAGGGGTTTGTTGTGTTTACCATTTTCAAGCTGTTTTCTGTTTTCAATTTTCCAAAATAGTGAAAACGCGTTCTATTTTCGAAAACGGTTTTTGAAAACAAGTTTAAAATTTACAAAGAAAACCCAAAACGATAATTTGTCGTTTTGAGTATTTTTAGTTATAATCAAGTCAAAAATTTCAAAAACGCGTTTTGGGTGTTTTCAAAATATCAAAAAGAACACATTTTCAACAATCTCAAAATGAACACTGAAAACACAAAATCCAAAATGAATTCAAAACTAAAAATACAAAATTGAAACACAAAAAGAACAACCCTTAGATATTTTCATCCATTTTTAAAACTAGTTTTTTCTAGGGAGCTTAATGATATATAAAGTGATGTCAATGGACTGAGCCGAGCCGGCTCGGCCCTTTAAGCCACGAGCTCGGCTCGGGCTCATGGCTCGTGGAGAAACGAGCCACGAGCCGGCTCGGCTCGTGGCTCGTTTGCTCGTGGGGCGAGCTCAGCGAGCCGGCTCGTCATTTTTTTTTAACTTTTTAAATGTCTTATCACGAGCTCGGCTCGTGGGCTCGTTCCCATGAGCCGAGCTCGTGGGCTCGTTCCCACGAGCACTCGCCTCTTAACGAGCCGAGCTCGGCTTGTCTACGAACCGGTTCGCCCGGAGCAGCTCGTGGGCATGAACAGTACGAGACGAGCGGCCGAGCCGATGAGCCGCTGGGCTCGATTGACATGGTACTTTTGATTGAGTTGTAAAAGAAATTATCTCGACCGACCAGCTCTGTGGATTTGTACTTATGGATTTAAGGTACTGCATCTTGTTACACAACAAGGGATTTAGCAAATTATTTGAGTCGGATAATTATGGCTGTGCTCATGGGTGAATATAAATGGTCTATTTTGTTCTGAACAACATTAGTTTACTTTCAGATATATTGATCAGTTCTCAAGATGCCTCTACGTGGAGTACAAGAAAAGTGGGATTGATGTGCAGTGTCAGGTATCGCTCTGAACCCAGATTCAGTTGTTTGTTTATGGGTGTAAAGTGTAATAGAATTTCGTAAGCTTTCTGTTACC